ATTGTTACTAGCCAATGTCGGTAATTATATTTGAATGAGGCGCGAAATCCAATTATTTACAGGGGTTTATTTGTTTGAACTTTCCCGCTGCACTGGTCACTTGTCGTCTGCGAAAAATAGGACCCTCGGAGGGAACGCCCCCAGCGCCAGCCGTATGACGTATATCTATGCCTGCCGTATGACATATATCTGTGAAACTGTCTGGAAAAATAATTCCCTTACTACTTGCCTACTATAGTATAATAGAATAAGCTAAAAATCATAACGATATCCTGAAAATTTTGACTAGCTTAAAAAAGAATAGAGTAGTAGTTTCCATGTATTATAGTAAAGTAAATGTATTGTATTATATTATATTATGCATTATAGTAAGTAAATTAAAACAAAATTCAACAAGTAGAAATATTAGCAAGAGTCCTAAGAAAATGACAAAAATGACCAAAATGTTGTTACCGTCTGGGGTATTGTTTTAATAATTATTGTATATTAAAATAATCATTTTTCTTAAATTAGATCGTTTCTACATGAATTTGAATTTTAAAATATCGCGCGCAGCTCCGACTTCCAACTTAGTACTTGATAGTACCTCCTATCGCTCGCCAGGTGGCAACCGCTAGTCTTTAGTGAAAATGGCAAGTAAGAAAGCGATGTAAGGTATATAAGACGGACTGTGTGACGACTGATTGAGATCAATCCGAAATATGCAAATACGTGTAATGCATACCTCCTAAGCCACTCAATTGATTAAAGTACATATTCAATAAATATCACTGTACCAATATAAGACAGTTATCTATACCAACTCGTCAAGGCCTCTACGAATTACTGCTTAATCACCGCACCTTTCCAATGAGTTGGATTCCGATGAATCAAACGGAGCCACAACGCCAACAACATCGGAAGTAGTGCCACCATCGCTGTTCAACTTAAAGAGAAGGCTCGAGACACGCGAGAGTGACTCTGATCTCTTCCCACTGCACTTCCCTACGCAAGGTCGTCCAACCCCAACGGCCACCTATAACAATGTGTTTTTTGCATCTAGAAGAAAACTGAAAGATCGTACATAAATAAGTAATTGCTAAGCTTATCTGAACCTATGGAAGCTCATTTTTTTCGTCTTAAAATTGCACATCTTTTTTATACGACACTTTTTGATGTAGTGCAAAGGGAAAGTTCAAACCAATAAACCCATGTAAATAATTGGATGCAGTGGATTTCGCGCCTCATTCAAATATAATTGCCGACATTGGCTGGTAACAATAATTTTTTTCGTAGACGTCACGTGACCCGGTGCCCCGAAAAAAGCGCGAGTTGTCCCGCGTAATTTAAATATAACTACCGACGTTGCTTCGTCGGCAACAATTTTTTTTTTTCCAGCGGAAGGAAAATTAAGGGGCCCTTTAATTATGCCGATCAGTTCATTCGTTACTGTCATCGGTAATCATTACTATGGTCGGTAAGCGCGCAAAATCTTAAATTCTGAAATTTGAAAATAATTAAAAACTTATTTGCATAAAAAATGGCATGCATAAGTTTTACATCCACCATCACCACTACTCAATTATACATCACCACTTCAGCTAAGGTGTTATAAATGAATTTCTCAAACATAAAGGAAGATGTCGGTCCATTCTCTAAAACATATTATAAATGCATGTTGTAACCTGTTTTTTACTTAGTATTTAATGATGTTGACAAGTGGTAAGAAGAAAAAGGGTACTACAGAACAGATGACCCCTCTCCTTAACAGGAAGGACGAGGTGAAAAAAAAAGAAATCGTTATTTTCATCGGTAAAAAAATTCACGAGCGATCGATTCTCTAGTAACCAAAAATCTTGTCCAGAAGACAAATATTGCAAGAGAGTGTAGTGGTTCACCATCATGGATTTCGTAATAGATATCCAAGGTTTTTACGACTCTGACAGAAATCTTATACCAAAAGAAGTTGCAGTGGTATCGAAACTAACACATGTCATAAGTCATTGGTTAATTAAACCACTCCGTCTATTCAACGATTTAGCTTACGATATAAGAAAGTATAATAATCACCGCACGCTAGAAGTTTACTGTATAGAGTGGTTGGATGGAGATATCACAACTAATGATTTAAAATTTTGTCTTATTACTCTTACTAAAAATCTCAAGAGAATCTACATGCATGGTGATGATAGAGCCAAATTAATAAGTTTAATACTAGCACGCCAAGTTCATGACTTTTTATATAAAGTTATATAAACTTATGTTTTATATAGAAATACCTAAATATCTACCATAATATTTAAATATATACTCTTTTACGTCCTGGAACATTTTGAATTTCCCGGCGCTTCTTGCGTAGTTGCCGTTGCGTTTTTGTCGAACTATTATTTAATTTTTTTATTTATAAAATAATCAGATGATCATCGCGAAACTTTGTGTACATATAGTTAATAACATCTTCTGTGACATATAAAAAAATTGGAGACATTCATCACACCAAATTTTTTTAAAACTGAGTTTTTATAGGTTTCCCCATAAGCGACCGTGTTAAAATGACTGAACTTTGAAATTCAATATCTCGGAAACGAAACAGACGAACCTCTTGAAATTTTAACAGCTTCATTGTAACAACAATAAGAACGTCTGGTTAAANAATATTCAAATATTTACTAATTTACGTCCTGGAACATTTTGAATTTCCCGCTTCTTGTGACGTTACCGTTGCGTTTTTGTCGAACTATTATTTAATATTTTTATTCATAAACTATTAAGATGATCATCGTGAAACTACGTGTACATATAGTTAATAACATTATCTGTGACATATAAAAAAATTGGAGACATTTATAACACCAATTTTTTTTAAACTGAGTTTTTATAGGTTTCCCCGTAAGCGACCGTGTTAAAATGACTGAACTTTGAAATTTAATTTCTCGGAAACGAATCAGACGAACCTCTTGAAATTTAACAGCTTCATCGTAACAACAATAAAAACGTCTGATTAAAATTTCAAAAAGATTCATCATAGGGTTCTGTCTCTACCGAATGTCCTTAAGTCGATACTACCGCCCAAACCGCTGTACTTACTCCTGCGCTGTACATGCAATGTATACGTTCTGCACGTTTTCTGCAAGGCTTTATGGGTATGCGTATATATCGTATATACACACTTCAGTAGACCGTAGTATATACATACACACACAAGAGCATATTTGCATTAGTGAATATGTACAACCATGCAATATAGTTTTGTCTTTATTTTTTATTATGTTTGAAAAAGGATCATTGAATGAAATAAAAATGAACAGATGAGTGTTAAATATCGAATTGTATAAAAATTGTAAAAATTAAATTTTCAGTTTCGGCGGCGGTATCAACTTAACGGATTAGCTGTGTACGTACTGCCACAACACAACTGCAGGACTCTCCTGCGATAGCCACAGGGTGGCGCCAAACAGTAATCGCTGTGGCCAACACTGCCGTTCCGGCTGTACAAGTGTTGTACTGCCGATACGGCTGTACAAGTTTTTCATTGTAGTGCGCTAGTAGTCTAAGCTATATTTATTTATTTTTATTCTTTAATTAATTCTTCTGAAAAAAAGGAAAGCACTTTACTTGAGATTAAAGCCCTTGACCTTTTGTAAATGAGCTGAGTGCTTTACTACGAGCGGTTCTGAAATGAAAAGATCGGTTTCTTCTTCTTATAGTATGGTTTATTTAGTTATAAATTATATCAATTAACAAATCGTTTATTTCAGGATCTGATGATGACTATGAATGAGTAATTTTTTTCAACTTCAATGAATATTTATTGAATTTTTAGACCCAGTATCATTTTATGGAAAATACATTTATATTCATACACATACATTGTCTGCCAAAGAATGTCATAGAAATTTAAGTGCTCAAGCACCCACTGTCCATTGGTTTTTACTATTCGCTATGTGTAGTAGTCTCAAACAGTACCACCTGAACGTCAAAAACAGGCGATGCTGGATAACACGAATACAAAGCCCCTTGTGTGCTGCAAATTTTTTAAATTGTTTTTCGTAGTTTCAATGCATTTTTGATACTTAAACTATAGATTTTTAGTGTTAAGAATTTGTATTTTTTGTTTTAAGCAGAATTCAATTTCTTGGCACATTATTTATTTAGTTTTTTTTTTTTTAACTATGATATGATAGTTATCTATTTAAAGCGAATTTTCGACACTGAAAATCGATACATTAAGTATCAAAAACGCATTAAAACTACAAATAATAACTAACAAAGTTTGCAGCTCATAACAGGCTGTGCAACCGTGTTATCCAGCATCACCTTTTCTTGCCCTGCAGTTCCAGCTGTTTCATATTACTGCAATAAAAAATAAAATGTTATGAAATGTTGCGTAAACGTTGTTGATTTTATCGAAATCAATGTATGTCTCACTCAACAGTGCGCGTGTGGGTAGCTTGCGAAAAGTTTATTAAAGGTAAAGGGGGGGGGAGATCAAAGTTTTTGATTAAACTTGAGGAAAGTTTTATTTCGTTACTTAAATATAGAATATTAAAAATTTCTAGGCTGTTAGAAGAGGTGGTGGAAAAAATTTCCTTTGGAAGTCCATTTAATGTAGGAAACAAATCCACATATATGTACAGTATATAAAAAAGTTTTATTCACAATAACAGACGAGAAGAAATTAAAATTTTTTTTTCCATTTTGAGTTTTTCAAATCATCATATCTTTTAAAACAAGAAAACTTTTTTTCTTTTTTTTTTTCATTCTGTTCTATAACAACGAAATCAAGACAGGGTCCAAATTCTGACCTTGACAATGATGTAGTTATGTAATTATTTATTAATGTATTACATAGAATCATAAAAATTACAGTTTTTGTTATTTTAAAACAGTTATTTTTGTATTTTATTCATGATTTTCAGCGTCTACATATTCTAAGTCATCAAAGTCAGATGAAGAATACGTTATGCTCGGAAGGATTTTATAAGTGAAGAAGTGGAAGTTACACAAGTATCTAGGCCAAAATGCTAGCTAACTTTCTTGGACAACTGGTTTTTGCGTTACAGGTAATTAGTAATTTTACCTTAGCTGAACGAATTCAACATCTTGAGGTTTTTGAGAATGTACCACCAGGCACACGCATTGGGTACATTGAAGGTGATAGCTCACCATATCTGGTAGTGCCAGTACCTGGCTCTTCTGTTGAATCAGATCTAATTATTGATCAAGCTACTGGTGAAATTTCTACACGTGTATCTTTAGATCGGGAAAAACGTGACTCGTACAGTCTTGTTTCTTTACCCCAGAATATTCGTGTAATCGTGCATGTGCTAGATGAAAACGATAATTCTCCTAGCTTCTCTACTACTGAAATAGATGTTGTATTTCCAGAAAATGCGGCACGAGATTTGCGGTGCGCTTTACCATATGCTCTGGATCCGGATATTGGTCAGTTTAGTACACAGCGCTACGACATTGTGTCAGGTAATGTAGGCAGTATATTTAAGTTATCACAGCATCGAGGACGTGACGGAGTACTGTACTTAGATTTACAGAGCAGTGGAGTTTTAGATTATGAGACTCAGTCAAAATACAAATTATTAGTTGAAGCACTCGATGGTGGTTTACCCCCACTAAGTGCTCGACTGTTAATTAATATAAATATTCAGGACATGAATGATAATCCTCCAATATTTCAGCAGATTCGATACAAAGCAAGCGTGCTAGAAAACTCAAGTATCGGTACAACTGTGTTAACTGTCAGTGCAACAGATGCCGACAGTGGAATAAATGGTCAACTTGAGTACTACATTAACCGACGTCAATCTGACCGTGACGAGATATTCCGCATTGATCATGAAACTGGCATAGTATATGTTAATCGTCAACTTGACTTCGAAATTTGTGAGCAACATGAGATTGTGCTGGTAGCACGTGATCGAGGTGTTCAATCCCTTGAAGCCACAGCTTTTCTCTCAGTGTACATAGTTAATGTTAATGATAATCAACCATCAATTTCGGTAATTTTTCTCTCCGACGATAAAACACCAAAAATAAGCGAGAATGCTCAGCCAGGTGATTTTTTGGCACGAGTTTCAGTAAGTGATCCTGACTCGCATAATGGATATTCGAATGTAACAGTTAGTCTTAAAGGTGGTGGAGGTCATTTTGACCTTATCACACGTGACAGCATTATTTATCTAATTGTAGTCAACCAGACTTTAGACAGAGAAGTAGAACCATATTATGAACTATCACTTAAGGCAACTGACACGGGTATGCCACCTCTTCAGGCAATAAGCAGCTTTCGCCTTCTTATTACGGATACTAATGATAACGCACCACATTTTATAGGCGAACCTTATAAAGCTCAATTGTTTGAAGCTGTAGAACTTGGAAGTTCAGTGCTTCAGGTACTTGCTAAAGATTTAGATGATGGCCTCAATGGTCAAGTACAATATAACATTCTATCCTATAGTAATGACGGTAAAAATAGAAATAAAAAGAGTAGTGATGGTAGAGTTAGTAACTCTCGTAGTGATAAAATGAATCGTAACTTGTTCACGATCGATAAGAACTCAGGTCTTATCACAGTTGTTTGCCACTTAGAGTGCGAGACTAATTCAGTGCACATACTTGTTATTGTGGCCAGTGACTTAGGTGAACCAGCTTTAAGTAGTAGCACTACAGTTCAACTAGAAATATACGATGCAAACAATAGCGAGCCGATCCTAGAAAAAACTTTTTATAACGCTACTATACCGGAAAACACACCACAAGGCACCTGCTTTCTTAAGGTATGAAAAGTAATGTATAAGTTTTAATATAAGTTCTAATAATTTAGTAGTATTAAGTAGTTCTAATAATTAAAGTTTGTTTTTCAAATGGTGTCAAATTAATCGTGTGAAAATAATCTTATTATAATTATTGTTATTATTACAAAATCATTTTTCATCGTCTTGAAGGTTCGCGCAGATATAAAAATTAACACCAACAAATGACTTACCTATGCTTATGAGTAACCTTTTAGTTACATATGAAAGTAATTTTAATGTTCATCGAAGAATACAATACTGACTCAAATAGGTATACCCAGCTTATTTAAGTCGATTCATTCAGGCATATATCAAATAGTACTCTGCTGATTAAACTACCAGAGGCTGCCAACTCTACAGTATGGGTTCTAATCCATTTTCATTCTAGCAGATAGAGCTGTTCTCCATACAAAACTTGTTAAAAAATACTTTTTCTGAACTGTGTTAAGAAATTATTTTTATTCCATAGAAAGTCATAAAAATAAAACTCTTTTACACTGTACTATAAGTATTTATTTTAATGATATATCACGTAAGGATTTATTCAGAGAACTTATATAATTGTGTAAAATTTTTATTTAAAAAATGCGATGGAAATTTACAGAAAAGAACTAAAAATTAATTTTGTTCATGCGATTATTATAAAAAACTTGTTAGTAGAAGAACTGCATAGTTTAATTTAAAAAACATTAAAAAAAACTTTTTCATTGATAGTCTAGGAAGATCAGAAAAAACTATGTCACGTGAACCGTAATTCTATTTATTTTTTTTCGTTCGATAAAAAGTTTAACCAATGATATGCACAGGTACTCTTTCTATATTATTTTTTAAATGAATTAAACTATTACGAGCTACCAAAACTTTTAACTACTTCTGGATGTAAGGTTAATCGGAATACATTTTTGCAATCACAACCGTAGGAAGGAAAGTTACTTCACTTCATGTCATTGTTTGATGCAAAGCGTCAATAGTTCATCAAAAAGCTTTAACAACAGTCCATAAAATTTTTTCAGATTCATGAAATATTATAGTACTTTGGTATTTAACCTTATTTTTGGAAGAAAAATTTTCGTCAAATTTTTCCAGTAATAAAAAATGCCAAACAATGCAACGATGAAAAAAAAAAATTTAATTTTAAACTTTTTGAAGATTTCAAACAGATCACATTCAAAACCAAATATTTTCTACTCTTATTGATTTTTAAAACATGATTTTTCTATTCCCATTGTTGATTCTTTTTTACACTAGATACAAGCTTTGGGTTAGTTTTTACTTTGTCAAAGAAGCATTTTTTTTTTGATAAACTCACCGACACCCTCCTGACAAATCTCACCCAAGATCTCATCTGATATCTCATGTGATTTCTCACCTGAGATCTCAGGTGAGATCTTATGCCAAACTCTCATCTGAGATCTCAGGTGAGATTTCTGAAAGAAAAATAAATTAAAAAATTTTGTGCAACGATTATAATTTATACATTAATAGAATGATTACCTAAAATATCAACAGTTATAGAAAAAAAAAAAAAATTTGGCTACTATGGGACACAAACTCGAGCCCCTAGTTTATCAGGCATTCATCTTGCCGCTTGGCCAGAGTGGATGAGATACTAGTCCAACAATTTACGTCTATGTAAAGTGTAAGTATCAAGTGTTATTGTTTTTCTTATTTACAACTGAATCATACAATTATTAACAAATATAATTTTTCCCAATCTTAATTATTAGAGTTAATCAACTAGATAATATTCAGGAACATTATTTTCTTCACAAACAATATTTTCGCTCTTAAAGTTACTCTTGAGGGGGCTTTATATCCAAGTAAGGCATAAGTTTTTAATAATCATTATACATTTTCATTAAAATGTAATAATAAAGAAAAACTACAACATAAAACACGGGAACTTGAAGTGTTGTGAATAAATTATTTTAAAAAAATCCAAATTGCTTGCGTGTATATTATCTTATTTTGTAAAAAGACTTATAAAAGTTTGAAATCCTTAAAGCTATCCATGTTATTCCAACTTTTCAAACTTATTATACTCCTTGAAGAATTTCAGCTAGAGTGATTACTGCAAATTTTTTGATACAACACATGTGTAATGCATTAGGTGCAATTGTTTATATGAAACTGTAGGTTTTCACTCGTTTTTTGCGTTTTCGGAAAACAATCACATTTAATTCACTAAACATGAATTGTATCAACAAATTTCCAGTGATGACTTCATCTGTAATTATTCACGGAGTATAATAAGCTGTGAAAAGTTGGAATAACATAAAAAGCTTTAAGGATTTCCAACTTTTATAAGTATTTTTTCAAAATAAGATAATATACACGCAAGCAATTTGGATTTTTTAAAAATAATTTATTCACAACACATCAAGTCCCCCTGTTTTATATAGTAGTTTTTCTTTATGATTACATTTAAATAAACATTTATAATAATTATTAAAAACGTATGCCTTACTTGGATATAAAACCCCCTCAAGAGTAACTTTAAGAGAGAAAATATTGTTTGTAAAGAAAATAATGTTCCTGAATATTATCTAGTTGGTTAATTATCAGAATTAAGATTGGAAAAAATTACATCTATTAATAATTGTATGATTCAGTTGTGAATAAGAAAAACAATAACACTTGGTACTTACACTTTATATAGACGTAAATTGTCGAACTGGTATCTCATCCTCTCTGGCCAAGCGGTAAGATGTTTGCCTGATAAACTGGGGGCTCGAATTCGTGTCCCATATAAGCCGAATTTTTTTTTTTTTCCTGTAACTGTTGATATTGAAGGTAATCATTCTATTAATGTATAAATTATAATCGTTGCACAAAATTTTATTATTTATTTTTCTTTCAGAAATCTCACCTGAGATCTTAGATGAGAATTTGGCATGAGATTTCACCTGAGATCTCAGGTGAGAAATTACATGAGATATCAGATGAGATCTTGGGTGAGGCTTGTCAGGAGGGCACTCTTTTACAATACTCTACGTTACTTCATATATTATGAACTTTTATACAACTATTCTACAGTCTTTGAGCCCTCCATAGATTTTGAGGGCTTACTGCAGTACGTTTTATAAATCTGTTTCAGTCTCATATAAGTCGCTAAGCATTGAAATTATAAGCAAGTCAAACTATGGTCTTAAATATATAATATGAAGCTATAAGTTGTAAACACATTTCAAATTTTCATAATTCAAAAAAGTTTTAAAAATGTCTATTATTAGGAAAAATTAACATTTTGCATGGATCAAAAAGTGGCAGTCTTAACTGTTAAGAAAGAATTACAATCAAGGTTTAAAGCATTTTAAATAACAAGAAACACTGCAAATAATTTAATTTAACTTAGAATGCACCACGTGAAAGTAGACTTGTTATATTCCATGTGTATACTTTTGATGTACATTTTTAAACGTTCAAAGTGCCAAAATCAATAGTGTAAAATTTGGTTAACATCCCTGAGGCAGCGCACTCGTATGTACCAGCAGTGCTTCCTATATTGCTCGTAAAAAGGCAAACTATTGCTAGCTAGTACTGGCTCGAGGATTGAAAAAAATTCAGCAACTGCTGCCTCAGTAAGCCCCAAAGCTCGTGCAGCAGATGTTTTTTCTGGTTTTCTGATGGATAGTTCTGGGTGATGTTTGAGAAAATTCCTTAGCCAGTCTTTTCCAGCTAAACCCCCTTTTTTCTTAAAAAGGTTATCTCACTTGCATTTCTCTGCCAACTAAAATGCTAGCCTCCTAACATCTGTGCATGTAAAGCCAAATAACTTTTTTTCCATGGTTAATAAATATACTACCAGTTCTTTCTCTTCGTTGAGTGAAAAAGTGGTTTTGAAACATGATGCTAAAAGTTTTTTTTATCAGTTTATACTAAATTAATTAATAAAATTTTGAAATCGTTTAACTAATCATACAATAATTACCTGTAGTAACAATTTCAGCTGTGCTCAATTTGCCACTTTTCTTCAAACAAACTTTTTTTCTTAGCGTCTCATAAGGAACTGAGTATTCAACAGCGACTTGACAAATATTATTTTCTTCTTTTAAAGCATCCTCAAGAGCCTTTTTTTACAACTTCTTTATTTTAAAACAACTACTTAAAATTTTTTTTTATCATGCTCATATTTAACACAAATAATAATTTGGCTTACAACTACATAATATAATGTCTACTTCTCGTTTTGTTCACATCTAGCAGTGTAAAGGTTAGGTGTACTTATACTACATGCAACTCATCGTACGCAACCTTTATTACCTATCATACCTGACACACATTTTTTTTTAGATATTTAAAAATAAATTTCAGTGACAATTTTGAAATGAACAAAAAAAAAGTAATAAAAGAAAGAAGTCCCAATATTTCGATGGCACAATTTATTGATATAACAAATTTGTTTTAAAGCAAGATATTGTATTTTAAAAAATTAAAAATTTTACGATTTTCTTACTCATTATCGCCGTGGAAAATGGATTTATCACCTTTAATTCAACTTATTTTTCATCTTAGAAATAAAACAGTAATAAATCAAATACATTTACGTAGCTTTTATACAAGAAAATTTAGATTCAAAACATAAAAACCAGGTGTGGATCTTGGGACCCACGACAGATGTGAAACATTAAAGAAAATGTTATTAAACTCGGTAGTATATGATTGTCTATGATGAAAATAGTAGTTTTCGTTAGATAAGTGCCGTTGGTCTTCAGGGCTATTTTACAGCCCGAGAGATCTGCGAAACAGGGCCAGAGGGACGTAAGGCAGCCACAGAGCAATGTCGCTTATTTGGCGAATCCTATTTTTTCTACTGAGCGCAAACCAGTCTCTCAATAACGCGTGAGGTAGAAAAAATATTTATTTTTTTGACTCTAAATAATCTTCATTTTATATTTTTATTTTAAAAAGACTGTTTATTCATGAATATATATTTTCATCAGTGAGTGTTATAGATTAGGAAAAAGCAAATTATGTTTACATTTTTT